ACACAACAGGGGTGTGTTAATGGGGTTGATCATGCTTATTTTTCTGTTTATCAAAGTTTGTTCTTCTCTTTTGCGCGAGGAATGGAGGAGAAGGCGGCCAACAGCCGCTCACCTGAGGGGGGGGCTCTGTGGCTGTTGCTGGAGCTCTTTGAAAAGGTTTTTCTTCGCTTCAAATGTAGATTCAAACATTGGATAGCATAAAAAAAGAACTCTCCGCCTTTGAGCTTTCCGCGGAAGGTTCCGGAAGGACGAGCGCTCTCGGGCTCTCTTGGCAGGTGATTGATTGAACGAGTCTCCTATCAGAGCTTATTTTAGTCGGCCGGATCAGCAGAGTTTGGGAACTCAGATTCTTTCCAAGGACGTTGAGGAGAAAACGGATATCTCCGTCCTCCAGAAACACCCTCCATGTCGAGCCTTTTTTGATAAAGAAATCCTCCAGTTTTGATTTAGTGTAAAGCTCTCATCGGGCTTTGTGTTATTTGGGATGAGATGAACAGATAGACCTCTTCCTGGAGCATCGAACCCGCCACCTTCCAGTCTTTTCCTCCTTAAACTGGTAGATTTGGGGATCCATTAGGCGTCAGAAACAGACGTGTGACGACAGATGTTCGGTTCGATTCAGTTATCAGCCAAACTACGATGTTTTGTGTGTCTTACTTCCTCTAAGACTTCATTTAAAAAATGCTCCAGTTTGGGAGCCTCATTGGCCAAAAAGGCTATTAAACCAAAGCCTGGAGCCTGGGGAGATTAATTCTCTTCCCATCATGATTAGATGTTGATGAAAATGACAGCGCTGCTTGCTAAACAGATGCTTTTTCCCCCACATTTTTCTCATTTTCTCCTCTCTTGAAATAATCAGCTGATAAGGGTAATCGCAAAATAATAGCAGGCAGGGTAATTCAGCCCCGCTCGGGTTCAGATTTGGGGAAGAATCCTGCTGCATTAGGTCACGAGAACTTTCCTCATTAAAAAAAAAAAAGGAAAATATAAAAAAACAGATAAGCATCAGAAGAAACGACTTAGGTGACAACACCCAGCATCAAAACAATATCCCACTACATCATTTTTTAATCTAAGAGCCGCCATTGTTTTTGTATTCTTCCCCAATTGTCATTTCTATCTGGCAGCTGGGGCTCTGCTCATTACATCTGTGCACAAAGGAGCTTATGTCTAAAGGCATAAAGTACTCTGTGTGTTTTCTCTGAGCCAAAAACGGGCCTTTTTCGCACTTTCTGCAAGGTGACATTTCGAAATTAGCTTGAAATTCGATTCCAAACCTAAAAATGAATTAAAGAAGATAACGGAAACGGGCGTCCCTGGACGGCTTTAGCTGGAGTTTAAAGCCGATGACCAGTGCACAGGTGGGCATTCCTGAGATGTTTTTGTTATTGTTTTTCCATTGGCGGGTCGTTAACCTGCGTCCAATCGGGGGACCTGGATGGCGGCGCAGCATTTGTGCTCGGCCCTGGCTCCCCGCCTTGACTTTTGACAGTTTTCCGGCCAATTGCCCGCCACGGCTCATTTGCCCTGTTTGGTTATGGAAATGTCTCCGCTGATTATTCGGCCCCTGCAGCTCCAGCGCTGATCCAGTTGTAACCGCTCTGTGATGGGCTTATGATGGCCCTGCTCGGTGTCCCCCCCCCCCACCCCCCCCCCCACCACCACCACCCTGCGCTGAGAGGCTCGTGCTTGGGATGGGGGGGGGGGGGGGGGGGCGTGCACTGGGTCCATTGGATCATGGTTGCCGGTCATTAGTCTTATGACCTGGGTGTGAGGCGGTCTCTGTTGTGCGTGTCTTTGTCTCCTCCCGTCTCGGTGGCGCTCTCCGCTCCGCTCCTCGACATCTGCCGGCCAACACACTCAAACACACACACTGATGGAGCTGACGAGATCCCCCCAGGACTGGTTCTCCCCAGTCTTGTAAAAGTGCGCTCATTATGTTCCTATATTGTGTTTTTTTTTTTTATTCTGCGTAATTGGAAATTGCCCCAAAATCCCAGGAAATGTGCTCTGTGGATTCACGGGTGTCCTGGCGACGTGCTCTCACAAAATTCGACCGTCGAAAGCCGTGAAAACAATCTTGATACACAAGCGGCCGGAGCCTCTGGCCCTGGTCCTTATTCAGTCATCTCTAATGGCGACAGCTGATATGAGGGCTCGTCCACCTCCATACCACCACAACGCTTCACAGGACTCGCACACATTAAAAAAACATTTGAAAAAAATCAAAATGCCTCCACAGATCGAGTTCCCTCGCGCCGGCACCTTTCCTCCCTCTCCCCCGCCGTCCCCTTCCGTGTAATTTAGCCGGCGATGAGCTCTCCCTCTTCCACATTAGTGTGCTACATCACTGCCAGCTATAGGGACGGGGGCTCTCGCTCTATACGGGATGCAGTCTCTCCCTGCCAAGCTCAGCCACCGGCGCCATCCGTCGGTGCTGACGAGTCTGGGCCCCTGCCACGTTCTGCACCTGCCAGCCTCATAAAGAACCCCCCTGTTCCTCCGGGGCCCCGAAGGCAGGATCTGCCACAACGGTTAAGGATGTTGCGATTCGGGAAGCCCGGCCAAAGCTTAAACGGGCCGCGGCACCTACGGCTTGGCAGATGGTCGGCTTTGTTCGGCTGATCCATCATCGGGGTATTTGAGGCGTTGGGATGAATGATTTGTCATGAGTGTCAAAAAAAAAAAAAAAAAAGACGGCGGTGGTGTCAGATGTAAGAAAGAGTGAGATGGTTGCTTAATGATTTGCTGCTGCCTGGGCAGAGGGGTGCTGGATTTTTAGCTCCGAGAGCCTCGGTTAAAGTGCTTCCTCTGGTGTAGATACGCCTGAGAGAGGAAGAAAGAGTGGTGTCATCAGAAGTGTCCGGCCTGTGTGTTTGCAGAACCTGGAGGAGAACTCCTGGCCGTTCATCTGTGGGTGTATTCACTGTTTATAAGCCGGCGGCTAATCAAATGCATATTTATGACGTGTGACACGGTGATGGAATGAGGCCTCTGGGCTTCAGGTTCCAGCAGAAATTCCACCCCGGTGTGTCCTGCTCGTTCTCTCCACCGCTTCTTATCTCACTTCCCTCGTTTTCTCCTGCTGCCTCCCGCTTAGGTCTGGGCAGCTCGTCCTGTCCTCACGTCCACCCGGCTATTTATAGCCGCCGCTCCCCACTCTGCGTCTCCGTCTGTTTTACTGGAAAAGCGAGGAGTGGGCGCCGGCGTCTGAATGATCCGCTTTGTCCGGGCCTGAGGAGACAACGAGGCCGGGATGGTGGGGGGGGGGGAAGAAAGCGCCATTGACAGACGGGCAAACAGGAGTCAGCCCCTGTCCCGCCCTCTCCCCTTTGTCTCCCAGCGCCAGACGTCAGCACGCGGCAGGAATCTGAGGAGAGGGAGGAGATGGGGGGGGGGGGAGAGTGGGGCCTTTGTTTGGGGCCGCTGGCCGGGGCCCCGGTGAAAGTGCACGCCGGGCAGGAGGAGGGGTGAGCACTGAGTTGACCTCGCCGCCGGACCTCCTTCGGCCTCGCCGTAAACACAACCACCGGCCCCCCGTGGCCCCCCCGCCAAAGTTATCCCATCCGCTTTGGTCCCGCGCGGGGCAGTTTCCAAATTCCCCCCGAATGACCCTCCGATCCGGCTCCCACCGCACAGGTGCCCCTTTCCTGACGTTTGTCTCCCACCTCAGAGGGTGATGTGTGCTCGTTTGTTTCCCTGAGGGGGGGGGGGGGGGGTGAGGGAGGTGTGAGGAGAGGAGGAATGGGCCGGGCCGGGCCGGGTGAGGGGTGTGGTTGGGTATAAACCTTGGGGACAGTGGTCTTTCTGTTGTTGTCCCGTTTTGAAGCCCCGCGTCCCGGCATCCCCTCCGCTGCTGCCTGCCTGCCTGCCTCTCTCCTCAGAGCGGGGCTCTTCCTCCAACCCAGTCCTGTGAGGTCTGCAGCGTCGGTCTTTCGGGGAGCTCCACAGAAGCCAGAAAGCATGCTGACGTTTTTGGCGCTGGCGTCGGTCGTCATCCTGGGAATAGGTAAAAAAAAAAGAAAAGACCGAAGAAATCTCTTTCTCTGTTTAATTTT